AGATGGAGCTGACAAGGGATCTCGCTGCTGCTCATAATATTCCATTGTATTCCAATGTGCCGCTGACTGCGTTCAAGCTTTCTTGGGGTGTACTACAAGGCGCCTATCTCACAGGACTCGCGACCACATCCCTAAGTGATGGTACAGAGGTGAAGCGAGGTCTTCTAATAGCTCCATCTTCTCTTATCTCCTCTGAAAACAATTTCAGGGTCATCTACTCTATTCCCGAGCGACTCTCGTGCGGACTCCAAAAACATTTGTTTTTAGCTGAACACGTCTACCTCCGAACCTCAAGCCGGAGCTGTGCGCACAAATTAATTTGTACTTTGCTTCTGTCGTGGCCCACATCTGTCGTTGAATGTGATACTTTGATATGTTTTGTACCCACGTTGACCTCAGATCGGTTTTGAAAATAATATACCTAGGCACACTTTCCTCGTGCCTAATCTACTACGCACAGTGACAGCATGATTTATCGATTTGGTCGTTGAATTCAACATCCCAATCAATATTCAGCCCTACTCGGTACATTTAGTATGTAACCGCCACTACGTAAACGTAAGATGAATGTTACAGTAGAGAAGTATTCATTCAGCATTTGCCTCTCACTTTCAGCATCTTAGCTGAGGTGTTTCTCACCCTCAGCAAACGTGTATAGATGATGATGCCTCTCAGTTGATAGTCATGAATCATGACCTGGCTCAGCGTGTGTTTACGTCCATGACGTGTCGGGCGATGAGCAATGCAAAAACACAGATGTTCGCATGTGAGTCAGTTTGCAAGTGCTCATGTAGTACGAAATGTTGCGCCAGTTCGCAGAAGGTGGAGTAAGAAGAAAGCGGATCAAAAAACGGCCGAACATTTGAGGCGTAATGTCCGTGAGTGGGGACCGAGGGCTATATAGGAAAAAATTTATTTCAGGACGTAATTGCCAGTCTAACGGAACAACGCTAGGGGTTAGGAATCAACAAAAGTGGGTAAACCGGTAGAAATGGTGTTTACCCAAGGTCGCCTATAGATCGAAAGATAAACTGTGAAATAAAAACGCAAATATTTCTAATGAATTGGTAAAACAGAAGAGAAATGTGACAACTCACAGTCAAATTGATAAGACAACGAGTGGGTTGGTATTCAATGGGTACCCCATTGCAGACAGATCCGTGATAAACCAATTGTGTACTCCGATATAAGCTGGTGTAATCTAAGTTAGCGTATAATTCCGAGTGATGCAGTACAACGGTGAAAGTAAGGATCCAAAAAGCGCATCGTTCCTTCCACTTGTTTAGACATCTAGTTCGATGGTAGCTGAAAATAACTGGGCGGAGATGAATCGTAGAAGCGAAAGAGGCCCATTTTTTATCAGCATGCTTGATGGAGGAGAGCTTGAATTCTGCGGTCGGAGTGATAGTTTCGGTGTTACTCTCTGCGAAAATTTTGTTTCTAAGACAGGCTCCGTATTTCGTTGAGCACTTCATATGGAGATTTTAGAGCTCAGAACCGAACCCGAGACATTATGGCCTTCAGGTAGAAGATTTAACTATCAGGTCACCGAACTGCGTGAGCAACTCTAGCCTGTTTTTTAGTTATCCTATCTATGCATGCTTAGTGAAAGCAAAGACATGTGTCTCTAAGGCTGAGATGGTCCATCCGGTGATGTTGCACAGGTTTGGAACGTCAATCAAATCACCGAATCGTGGGCAACTCCCATAGTGGCTCAAAAGTAACTACGTACGAACGACATGACCAAATCTGAGTGGCGGAGAATAGGAAAACTCTGAAAAGTGCATTTCATTGTTTCAGCAAAACGAGAGAGCACAGGTTCACGAACAACACCCGTGGAAGCAATCAAACATCGCGTTTGAACGGTTCCCGGGATGGCTTTTGACGTGGGTTCGTGTAACTGTAGCGACAGCCCACATGACATCGAATACATCGGGGGAAAATGGCACAGATGGGAGTAAACAAACAAGTCCCAGTGATCTATGTAGCCTCCATCTGTGTGGAGGCGGATCGCACTCTGTTCATGAATAGCACACAAATAACCTTAGCTAAATGCAGCTACTTAAGATTCCCTATGACGGGATCTTCACTGCCTATAAAGCAAGATCAGGTGATGCATTTATGGGGTCCGTAACCGAAATCACCGGCGGCGGGATGAAGTGATTGGATCTGCTAAAGTAAGCACGATCGGTTTACCCCGCCTCCCAGTTGAGTCCGTAATACTAGAAAACACAGCGGATACAGGACTTACAAAGTTGGTCTCCTTCTGTGTGTTTGGGGGTCGGAAAATACACACCTGCACAGTTTGAGGCGTCAGGTCCTTGCACTCAGCAACTGGAGTTGCCTGAACTCGGAATGCAAATTTTGGAAGCAAACACTAATCGACCAGCTGTCAGAGAAGCCAACCGCTCCCTGCTCATGTAACGGATTCACTGAAATTAAACTCGCCGAAGAATTGTACATCAAGCTACTCACCGAAGCAATTAGAAGAGTGAAGACGAAGACGATACAGAAAAACGACCACCAGTCACTAAATTTTGGTATAACTGCTATCCTCTCTTGTTGAAAAACGATCAGATATGGCGCTAGATTGATGCGACTGTTCAGGCATCAAGTTATTTTGCCAAAATTGAGGAATATATTGTAGGCCATTCATTAGCGATCGGGGTGACATCGCCGCTGTGAGGATAAGCCGGCTGATAGACCAATTTTAGAACACACCATTGCAAATAAGACGCCAAGCTGGGTAAACACGTCAACACTAAGCTCGTTTTGTCAGCATCTAAACCTATTATTTACTAAGACGCCAGAGTTCGATAAGTGACTAATTTCATTCGAAAGTAAATAACAACACATCCTGCCCAAGTTTGAAGTATCAAGCGGAACACTGGATCGTGGACAACTCCCATTACAATAAAAATAGTAATGATGATAGTAATGTGTTAACTGCACGCCGTAACGGAGCTTCGCTGCCGCGCGACCACTACCAGTCGCGCGTGCACTGAGTATACCGCGAGGGCGCCCACACATAGGCGGATTAGAACCGGTAATCTTATGATTGTAAGCCAAGCTTGCAGACCACTCGGCCACTGGCCGGCAAACCCCATAGCGGTCCGAGAGTAAGTTCATGTGAACATGATCACATTGATGGGTGTTTAACCACTAAATGTAAAGTTGTCGGGCTCTACACCCCAGACTGGTGCATTCGCACGACTGACAACAATGCTTCGCCGCTAATATTTATGAAGATTGGTGCCCCAATAAGATCGACAGTTATTGTTCCCAGAAATTGGTAAGGATGAGTGAACTCACGATAACCGATTCTAACAAGAAGACTGCATTGTCGGCAGGCGGCAATGGTAAACATTCGATGGAAGGCTAACGGCAGGTTGATAGTAAAGCCTGAAAATGCAACCTGCTAAATGTTAGTTCCATTAGGTGGCCGAGGTACAAATGGCCGCTCGCGCAAGTTACCAACTGACTGTTTGACTCCTAACGCCAAACATCTATCTACATAGTTTGGAACCGTGTAATTAGTAAAATATCATCAAGGAGGTATTTTTCTTATCTTCTTAATTTGAGGTGTGTGTAGGCCATGCCCAAGACCAATTGAGACAACCGCAACAAACCGACTTCGTCATCAGTATTCTGAACCGAACCAAGATCACAGTAGCAGTTCATAGGAGAAGCGGGCTTTGAGTGAAACCTAAATGCCGAAAGCAAACACAAGGTCAGTAACACACGGTGACAAACCGATGTCTGTAGCGCGATTGCTGAGATAGTTTTCTTGCGACTTTCAATACTCCGCATCATCAGTTTCATCTAACAGAATCAAACCGGCTTTTGTACACAGCGTAAATGTTGCTATCTAGTACCCGTTGGAATCTGACAAGTGATGTCGGATGAGCCTTGCCGCACACTAGCAGAAGCCCCCGAATGATACCAGGAGCCAAACAAACAATTCGGGTGTGGTACTGCGTGTTAAACCGTCTGGTCAATGCTCAAAAGTGAGCCACCTGTGGCTGTCTACTACCGCCTAGCTTCCACAACGGCCAAACATGGAAGCTCAACGAAGAAATTTGCCAAGCTAGGCATTATAAAAGGTTGATTTCTAACGCGATTCACTGGTTGGGGAGTATGGTGAAAACGGTGATAGATAATTTACGATGTTTAAGTAAGCGCGATTCGGCTTTCGAACTGGGACCTAACAGTCAGTGAAGTTAGGTGGCTAACGCCATCCCTTATCGTATCACCAATACTCACCATTACATGCACCGGAGCGTCAGCTTCCCAAAACGGCTATATCAATAAGTTCCTTTAGCTTTGTCATCACAAGTTCAGTGATGTTTGCAGTATGATTAGTAAGATGTAACGGTACCAGCGTTGCCTAATGTGTGGATCCGCAATTGGGTGATGAGACATCTCAGACCGAAAAGGCATTATCACTTCAGAGATATCACATGAATCCAAAGTAAAGCGGAGAACGATGAACCAGAGTGGTCGAATTGATCGTCCGGTTGCGCGTGCCTAGCAGAAGCGCAGAAAGTAAGCACTGGTTAGATGTGGAGTCACAGGTCCATAGAGCTGAATCTGGCGAAGAACGCAAGCCACCGCCACACCCATGCGGCAACAGCTTCACGACGCAACGACCGAACAAGCAAAACGCCTGGACCAGCCACCCTGCCTAGCGCAAGATCGACCGGCCACCTAGTCGCGTGTCACTTGATACACTCGAGTAACCAATGCTAGCGTCCCTGAATGGTCGATGTTCAACCGATCGATATTACCACTATGCTGTAAACATTTACTAGCCAGTATTTATGCTTGATTTCTGCAAGGTATATGCATTTATTTATTTAAAATATAATGACGAGCCGAGTTCACCAAACCGGAACACATAAACGGTAATCACGTAGATGATGATACCCCTCTGGCTTCTCTATCGACTTTGTCTCGTCCAATAAGCAACCAGCGCATTTTGCACGCCAACGCCTACCTAACATAATGCTAGCTAGGCCGGCAGACACCTGAAATGCGTTCCATCGTTCGCTTATCTGTTCTCCGCCCATGACCCGCAACTTTCCGGCCATCATCGGCGACGCGTTATGAGAGCTACTCGCTATTTGTGGATCGGTAATCTTCCCGCTCGTGTAACTGAGGATGATATAAAGAATGTTATGCAAAGGTACATATTTTCGCCAACCTCCGGCTGGATTTATTCGAGAATGCATTTGTCGTGAACGTCTAATGTTCTGCATGTTGTGCTAAATGTGTGGATTACGCACTGGCATCAGGATCGTCTTGTTTTTCTTTCAGTCATGGGAAGATTCAAACTGTGCGCATCCACTCCAACGGAGGTTCCAACGGTGCTGTTGTTGCCTTTGTGGACACCCAATCGGCCACTCGAGCCATTCAAAGCACCGTCCGGTTGAATAAGTCGGACTTGTCGCTTCAATACTGTGAATCTTCTGGCATCCCTGGGAATATAGCCCAAGATCCAGCAAATATGTCGAGCGATTCTCTCAAGTCAAACGGTTCCGGGTAAACCGTACTCATAATCTTAACACATTTTCTATTAGCCATTCTCAATCTGAAGATGACCGGCATTATCGCGAAAGTCGGTCTATCACTGTCAGTCATTCCTTTTCCCATGGATCAGACGAAGAGAGAAAAAGCAAAGCCTGGTATGCGGTTTTTAACGATCATACTTATGTAGTAGCTCCCATTCATCGGATTTACGTTCAGATCACAACGGCACAGGGCCAACCTCTCGATCGTTTGGAACCCGACGGGGTTTATGTGTTCGACATCTACCCATTCGATCTTCTGATTCCAATTTAAGAGAGGGCTTATTTCATGAATATAAGAAGCATGGAAAGATAACTTCGGTTGTCATCCGTGGTCAGGGTGACGATCGCTACGGGATCATAACTTTCAAGCGTGTTGAGGATGCATCACGTGCCTTGGAGGTTTCTCGAGATAAAGTGTTCTTCGGGACGCCCATTGTCGTCACTTTGCATGAAGGCCTAGGTGAGTTATTCTTTTTGTATGATTTTCTCTAGATTCAGAGGATCCCGACTTGTGTCCCCCTGAGCACGCTCTAGATGAGTATCATCCTAAGGCCACAAAAACGTTGTTCGTTGGAAACCTCTGTTCGAACACTGTCACACAAGAAGAACTGAGGAAAGTCTTCCGCGTATACGGCGAGATCATAGTACGTGTATTTTTTGCTCATTATTATTTCTAGGAAATTGATATTAAAGTCCAAGCCAATCAACCAGGCACGTCGTACGCATTTGTACAATATTCTGACATCAAAAGCGTGGTTCGTGCTCTATCGGGTCAGGACTCTATTCGTGTTGGTGGCGGCCCTGTCAAATTGGGATTTGGCAAGAGCCAACCTACCAATGTTGTTTGGATTGACAACCTTCCTACCGTAACTGAGGCGTACCTCACACGGCAGTTTGATCGTTATGGACACTTAACTCATGTTGTTCTGGATAGAAAGTCATCGCGTGCTCTGCTTTACTTCGATACTGTTGAAATGGCTCAGCGAGCGTTAAATGAAACGCGCAACCGCGCCCTTCTCGGACGAAAGGTTCAGTTAGATTACGCGGGATATGAATGCCAAGTTGCTTTCATGCGCCGTCTGGGCAGAAATGACACTTTAGGCCAAGCATATGAGAATTACAGGTAAACCATATGATGATACTTTCTAACTCTCTCAGGGAACGTTTGCAGGAGGTTTTGTCACTTTGGCCATCTTACGGAGTTCCCATACTCGGTCGGCAAAGGTTAGTTTGTTATGGTGTCTGTTCTGCATCTCCGGTGGATGCACCGCGTTTTCTTTGCTGAATCCGGACAAATGTTTCTACGTGCCACCTAGGCATTCAACGTCCGAATGTCAGATTGCGCTTTCCTTCACTTGTGACGCGTTGGCGAGATCCTACCCAGTACCTCCAACATTGTTCATCGGTTAGTTGATAAATTGGGTAGGCTCATTGAGTCATCTGTCACCTGTCAGTCTTACAAATTAGCCGGTGACCGAAAAGATAAGGCTCTCGTATTTACTCAAAGCACACCGGCTCGAGTTCGCTTAAATGCGGCTGACCTCGCCGTGTCCGTAACTCGAAAACGATTGGTTGTGGTCACATTTCAGCGAAATGGCAGTACGGTATGTAGGCGTGCTGCTTATCCCTTTTATTTCGCAGTCTGCGTTTTTGGCGAATGTTCTCGCATTTTGCTTGTGTTTAATTTCCAATTGGATGTATTTCGTTACAGCATGGCTGTGCGCTCATTTGGTACGCCCATCACCTGCGTTAGCTCGTTGTTCTTTTGGCTAGCTTGGCCTGACGTGTTTTCTACTTGTTCTTGCACCGGGGCTTAAGGCTTGGCATCTGTGTAGCTGGATCGCCTTACAAAGACCTCGGGATTATGGGATCAGTGCTCCTGTTAGGTATAAACACTAATGCTCTGACTGTCCCAAGAGTAGTCAAGGTCGCCCGGTCTGATGCATCGAGCATGGTGGATAAAGGTGAGGATGCTACTTCTCACGCCTTCCCGTCTCCTTGCAACTTCAATTCCCCCGATTTTAAATCCCTAATTCCTGGTCCTTATCGTCTCGCTTCTATAGTTAACACACGTAATAACAGGGCTTAACTTCCAGTTCTTGATTGTCCCAAACCTTGCTTTGGTTGGCGTTCGTCTTGTCCTAGCTTAATCGCTGTTCCACTTCAGCTCTGTCGACAATCATGTGGACAACCTCAGTTCATTCTTTTCTTCTATATCCCTCCCTATTACTGGCATGCTTCAGCCTGCGCACTTTGTTGTAGTTCGGTTAACACGGAGCACTTGCCAAAACAGTGAATACCATCTTGATCGATATTTGCTACTTATCTGGCTCTATGCTCATCCGAATATTCCCTGCAACTGGAATTGGCGTTACTTTCTAACTGCGTCTGTCCTAAGATGATGCAGTTTCTACTGCTCCTCATACTGGTGTGGGTATTGACCTGAACCCCTGGACTGCAGCTGCTCTGGTATACTGGATCCCAGTCACTAGTCGGATGTGAGCCGTCGACTTGGCTGGCTCGTTCAAAGTTTCGAATTCCTCATTTGGTTCTCGTCTGTCATTGCGACTTACGCCCCCACAAACTGTGACATTCTGTGAATCACCGACTGAACAAGCTCTTTCCTTACTGAACAGGCACGGATACTGTAGTGATATCCGCTGCTCCGAATGCTCAAGTTGGAAAGTTGTCCATCGATGCGCTGCATTTACGCGGCCAACATAGTCTAGGCTACCGTAACGATCGGTTGTTACATTTGTGTGAAGATGCCCTTCTCTTTTTCGTGAGCACTAATTTGGATGACATGGCATCCACCAGCCATGGACGCAACGCCATCACATCGCGATCAGTTACCGTTGGAAAGACTGTCCAAAACTGTCGCGCGATTTGTAGCACAAGCGTGGACTCCGACCACGCACTTGTAGTTGCCAACCTGCACCGAGTGCGTAGTTACGTGTCAACTGATGAAGTCATATGTCCTAAGTACGCTGGCGTTGAGCTAAGTAAACGCTGACTGCACACGGTTGAATATCATTGACTGCATTTTTGCCAGACATTACTATTAGCAGGCATGTCTTCATGCGCTAAATCAAATTGCCACTCTAGGTGTCTGGTTTCCACACAGTCTCTGGAACTTCTGGATGTTCGCCGATACACTGCAGCTGGGAGTGAATATAAGGAGAGTCGCAAAATTGCGTGCTAGCCTGAAGAGAGACGAGGGGCCCAGTGGTCTCGTCTTGCGTCGGAACTAGAAACAACCACTGCCATTGCTAACCATCCTACCTTATTCCGTCTGATAGGGGAAATTGGTGGCAGGAGACATGGTGCTAGCGAAGTTGCACGACCTGTTTACATCCTGTCGATGTTTTAGCGTTGGGTTGGGCATTTTGAAAAGCAGTTTAATCTGCTGGACAGTGATCGCCCTTTTCCCTGTATCGCTCTTTTAGATCCATCCTCGAGCGATAAATTCGAACGTGAGATCGGAATTCTGGATTTGCACAATGCCGCGGAACCAGGTGATCTAATCCCAGCCTTCGAATTCGGGGATCAACTTTTGTTGACGATTTACATAATCTCTCAGTGAAACCTTGGGAGCAGAAAACTGTCCCAATCGACTGGAGTCGCTGTTATTGTCTCGATCTTCAAGAGAGGTCCGCATTACGAATGCGGCAGAGAGGAGTGATCTCCATCACATTTAAGTTCTGGATACATTAACTTGCTCCCATACAAACCGGATTCGTGAAAAGTATGCCGGCTTTCGTCGAACTCATGGCTGCATTGACCGTGTCTTCAGTTTGTCAGTTGTTTGAGCACCAACACATATTGACGAGCTACTGTGGTCGTGTTCCTCGGCATCAAAGATGCCTTCGATTCTGTAGATTGATAGGCACTTTGTAACTGTTTGATCGGAAAATATGTACCCAGGAAATACATTAACATCATTAAAGCGCTGTGGGCGCATAGTCCGGACAGCGTGAGGGCTTTCGGTAGACTGTCATCATCCATACATATCCCCAGCGGGGTGATACAAGGTTGCCCTCTTTAACTTTGCCATTGACGTAGTCATGGCAACCGCGTTCACGGGACACTAATTAAGTTTAGAGCTAATCCAAGGGATCGACTACTTGACTGGGAGTATGCGGACGGCATTGCTATCATCTGTGACCGCTCCCAAACGTGCCAAGCAGCACTGACTGTTAGCTGTTTTGGTTTCTATTTGGACCCTCGAAATGCAAAGCTTATCTCTAAGGTTGACGGGTACTGCCCTCCCTGTGCTGACCCTTGGTATGGATCAGGTCGAAGCCGTTTCGACGTTCGACTTCCTATGCATCTGTATTAGCGCTAAAGGGCATAAATCGTATACCAAAGGCTTGAGGCCCTTTTGTTATTCTGCCACATGTGGTGCCGACGCGAAACCATTTGCTATGAAGGGTGGAGCCCACCATTCTGTCCGTTCAACTACTGTACGCTTATGGAACGTGGCCCGTCACTTCAACACATGTAAAGGCGATTTTTATGTTCGACCACCGGTGCCTTCACAATTTAGCTCACATCTGGTGGGAACACTGTGTGGACAATGAGCGTTTTCGGCGTCTTGTTTATTGCGCAGAAGAAACAAGGGAATCGCAACTGGCTTCACTAGTCTGGCCACGTGTTAGGTATGGCAACACACTGACTCTTCTCGGCGTACGTTGTTTCCGCGATCGATTCTGGATAGACAAAAGGAGGTGAAGACCAACCGATGACTTTGTCAAGCGGAAAGGGTACTCTGACTTCGCATTTGGCCTCGGATGGTGCTCTCGACTCCCAGGTTGAGGTCCTAAAAATTTAACACATTTGCTTGACATGGCTAAGAACCAAACACAATGGCATTTGTGTTTTGAGTCTATTCTGCCCCATCTAGCTGTCACGCTCTGCATCCACTCTTCCGCCATTAATTGCGTAATACGAAAAATTTTATTTTATTTTGCTTTGTTGTTATTGTCTTTTTACTTTCACCTGATTGGTTTGATATGCAGTCTAGTTGCTGGGTGTTTCTCACCCATGGTTTATGTCTAGGACAGTGATGATACTCATGTTCATTGTTTATTGCTGCGCTTAGCTGGAGAGGCCTATGGTCTGTTCGTTCGTCTAGCAGGTGCGGGCTTTAGCTATCCTCCGTCCGTTCTACCCCCAGTGCTGCATTGGTCATGGGCTGCTTTTATCCTCCTACTACCCATCCGGCGAACTGACTGTTCTAACTTACGTCTCGTCGTCGATTTCCACTCTTGCTGGCCTGCCGAACAACCTCCTCGTGGTACCAGCTGGGTGGTTCGGGATTTTCCCGGTCCAGTAAATGGTTCGGCGGCAGTGTTCCAGGGTGTGGTGGGTTTTCGCCTGGTAAGCGTTCTCCCTATAAAAAGCCACTTTGTGACGTGGCGGACGTGACTCTCCACTAAATAGTCACTGCTCCTTGCTTCATCCTGGCGAACCATTGTATTCAAACAACTTTATGCTGTAATTCTGGGGAGCATTGGGCTCCTGTTTGACAAATGAACAAACGTAAGGCGTATGAACTGAGCAATCAGCCACCGGCTCCCAATGGGCATGATTCCCTGAATTCGCTCCGCTGTCTTGCGGGCAGGCTATTCAGCCAAAGGCTCGGGGTGGTTATCCTCTAAGTCAGCACCCTACTTTGGCTTGGGCAACCGGGTAGTATCTCGTCCTCTGACGAAACCATGGACTTTGATGTTTTGTGTTGTGTTTTCTTTTACTATTTCTGTACCCCATTGTTTCTGATGGTTTTATGTCTATTCGTAGACCGTTGCAAAATTGTAATATGTACGTACATACCGCTTACTGTGGGGCTATCCATTTGACTTGTTCTTACTCGTTATTTGTATGACGCATTTTTATTCTGCTTGCTCGGACTACCGGCCCTGATAACAGTTTTCCAGATTTTTTATTTTCTGCTTGACCGCTTTGATTCATACCTATATCTGATATGACGGCATATTAGCCTCATTCGGTGTCAGATCACCGCTTTTCTGATTATGTTTAATGCAGTCTTAAGTTGATTTATGCTAAATCGTTAGAATGTGTATCGCAGCGAATTTTGTCTCCATTATGCTCCACAAACTATCCATGGGGTGCTATATCCCATATTATATTCTTTTTATACTTTTTGTATTCTATGTTTTACATCTAATTTTTGTATTGCGGTACGTTAGCTGAGATGTTTCTCTCCCTTAGCTATCGCGTATTTATGTTTAGCGTGCATGTTGTTCTGAACCGCTTGACGATTTAAGCTGCCATGGACGGCATGACATTTGCCCCCACGGAATGCTGAGCTCTGCTCCAGAACTGGCATCCACCTGCTCCGGTGCTCACTCTTAGGTATGAAGCTTGAACGAGTGAATAACTTCATTTACATGGGAGTGGTGTTTCTGCTGATAGCACTGTTATCAGTAAGATTTCCCTTCATATTGCCAAAGCTCAAGCAGCGTTCGTCGATTTGTGGCGTCGTTGTGACGTTTCACTATCCACAAAGGGCAGGGTCTGCAATGCCCTTGTTCGCATGGCACTGTTGTGCGCAAGTGAGTACTGACCAATTCATGTGAATGGGAAAGATCAGATTTGTCTTTGGCAAAGCTTGTCTGCGTTGGATAACTTTCGTATGTTGGGAACACAATGTTTGCAACGACGATTTCAGACATCGCGTCCTAGTTTGTAAGAACATCCCTCTGGATAGACCAGTACCGCTGGGCCAACAGAGATGGCTGGGTCCCGTTCTACGCACGCCGTGCGTTCGACTACCACGGTGTGCTTTATTCGCTCGCACGAAAAGAAATCGCGCTGTGATCAACTTACCAAACGGCGACAAGACACTGACTTCCAGTATCATCGTTCCCCTATATATTCCGGGCTGGTGGGGAGCCAGCGAACCGTTGATGACCTGGCGCAGAATCGGGCACAGTGGATGATTCATTTGATTTATGCTTTGATTTCACTAATCCACACTGCTATCTTTAAAGTGATAAAGAGGAATTTGGCACGTGGAATAGCAAAACAACGATTTTTGTCAGTTACGTTCGTTCTATAATTTTTTATTGCCTTATATCTATTATATAGATACGGACTACACTGATATACACTTAAAACTAGATCTTAGCCTGAACCAAAAGTATTCAACTTTACTTGCTTTGGTCAGTCTTGTTATGCTGCATATTCCGTGTCAACTTGCTTATTTTTCTTCAAATTCTACGTTGGTCGTTTGATATCCCTGGTGTGACTGCGCTTGCTTTGAATGTTGACAGTGTCTACCTGCCGAAAAACCGATACCTCGATTGTACTGATTCCAGGGGACGGTCGTTTCTTGTGGAGCCTATGTTCACCATGCTCGACTCAATGTGGTTCCATCTAGTATGGAGTAGGCTTCGACCCGGCCACTGCATTTTCCACGTCTAGCACGCATGATTCCCCACATAACTAGGCAAGAATGTCGCTGCTGTGCATGTATGGACCGGCTCCGTTGATGAAACGTGACACCCCATCCACCTTACCTTTCGATCTTACTCCTTCGAGTCTACACTGTATATGTGGTATGTGGGTACTGCAGCGCAAGCCACCCATGGTCCCTCTGTAGGCGCGCGTCCTGAACCACGTGCTGCCAACCATATATGGTTGGCGGCATCCGTTTCCGGTTTTTGCCTATCACTGTGGCCAGCCACAGGACTCCTGCGCCTACAGAGGGACCATAGGTGGCTTGCGCTGCACCACCCACAGCTCCAACCACACACCCCATATCCAGTATGAACCCGAAGAAATAAGACCGGGATGCATGTAGATGGGGTGCCACGTTTTATCAGCGGAGCCGGTTCACACTCCTTCACAAACACAATCACGCTGTATTTGGGGAATCAAGCGCACATAAGGCAGTGGCTCGACCGTAGTCCGCTCCACACTGAGTGCATGGAACCACTCTTCGAGCCTAGTACGACACAAGGATCGTACACCCCGTCCTCTCCAGCAACGACCAACTGTCTCCTGAAGCCAGTAAGGACGAGGCAGTGGGTAATAGACAGGTAGGCACCTTGTCAATATGTACATCAAGTGCAGTCACACCGGGATATCAAGCAACAGCCTATCACTTGAAATGGCATTATCAAATAACTCATATCTGCTAAGGCATATGGTTGTACTGACATAAATCTTCGCTAAATTAGCATATAGGTTTTCTTTGTGACGAATCCGCGCTAATTACAATATGCTCGGAAGTCATTCAGAAAGTGCGACAACCGCGATAAAGTTAACGGAGATATGCACAATAACCGTAAGCAACGAGTGTAAGTCAATAGAAGCTTTTTCAGGTAGGCAGAACGAACCAAATAAAGCGGAGTGAAATTTATCCAGCTTAAAAAGCAAGTTTAAATGTAAGTTGGTTTAGCCCAACTGCGGTGAAGCATCATGAATGCAATATATATATATATATATGTATATATATGTGTGTATATAGTTATCTACCTAGCTTGCGCATTTCACATCGATTTTTCTAAGCGCTTTTCGTTAATCCGTATGCTGAGCTATCAGAACAAAATGTTCGAATGCGAAATTTATCGTGTATACTCATTTGTACTGACGCTCTCTCATTACAATCGTTCCACAGATATTTTGCCGACTGTTCGAAAAACTCGGTTAATCTCCACACTGAAGAACTTAGTCCGTCTTATGAGTCTCGGCCTCACAAGTCTGCATCATCGGTCGATCGTTCATTTCTCGATTATTCCTCCGTACGTTCTAAAGATAGTTCGCTGGAACCATCTCGTGCGAAAACCCACTCTTCGCGGTCAAGCGCCAAATCTTCAAGTGGAAAACAACGCGCTCTCCATCGTGGCTTTAGCAAGGATAGCTCGTTATCACCACCTATCACTTCCCGGAAGGACATCAAGTCGTCTCGCAACCGTCGTTGCGTACATCACTCCAGTTACAAGTTGCGTGAATCGGATGCTAAACTGACGGAAACACCTCGATATGGCGCGACAACTCGGAAATGCCTCTTGCCCCGCACACCTCGTCGTCGAGTTGGCAGTCACGATGGTGCACGGTACGAATATCCAGCGCGCCGCGCGGCATTTAACCGGACGTTCAGCGGAAGTAACAGCAATTATTTAGACGAAGCAGATGACGTTAGCAGTGCTTCTCTCTCTCCAGACACGGGTGCTGCTGCTGCTGATCTTTCGGCGCTGTCTTCCTCGAGACTTGGATTTCATCTCCTTGAGAGTTCACATCAGACACATTATCCCACTAAGAGTGTATCTTCGGATTTATTTAACGATAAGCTGCAAACGGCGAATCGATGTTCTGTTCCAAAAAGCAAAGCTCATCATCATACTCCCACAGTGGATTATTTTCCTCCTGAATCACACAAACGCCTCGTTAATTGTGACAGAGTTTCGATGAGCTCCGAGTTAGTTTTTTCCAAATCACGTCATCGTCGTTCTCGCGTGGATTCAGAGGATTCTCTGTCGCCTGTTCGTACTCATTTTCACGAATCTATGTTGGATGCTAGCCGTCGTCATCACACGCTTGTTCGTGATGAATTGGATATCTCCAGTGTGAGGTCACACGCCCGGTCACGTTTATCCAAACTCATCGACTCAAACGTTGTATCCAAACGGCCACCCCGCACTCCCTGTAAAGTTGTTAATTCATCTGACAATTCAGTCGATGGGACACGTCCTGTCCTCTCGACAAGTATCCCCGTATCTGACAGCCGTGCCCCATCGCATTCGCACGACAAGGATTGCACTTTTGCGTCAACCTCATCTGGTATGCGTCGCTTGCCAGAGGGCTTATCGGAATCCCGCGACACGCTCACTAAATTAGAAATGGAACGCGCCAAACTTCTCAGAGAGTTGTCCCTGCTGAATAACGAGGTTGTGTCGGGTACCAAATCGAAGTCACTGTCCGAGAGAAAACGATCTTATCCTGATGCTCAAGCTGATGATCGCGTCCTTAAGTCCAGGTGAGTGATTCTGTCAGTAAAAGTAGCTTCTTACTTATTACGATCCATCTTATCATTTTTCATAGCTGTCATTTTATGGTTTCTAATGTGCTCACTTTGTTGTCTCTACTTTGAATACTTCGAGTTTTGCATCTCTCATTTCGAACTTGTTGGGATTGGTTGCACTGATCACCGACTGCTTCAGTACTAACTACCGTTTATCTTACCAGATCGTTCACCACCTGTAGTTGCATGATCACGTACCAACATGCTTTCAAACGTCTTTTGGGGCTTGTCGTCCTCACGCCTCAGTCTGAAATTTTTGCACTTGCATGGAGTTTGACAGGCCTGTATTGTCTTAACCCGATCAAACCATTCTTGTGCTGTTTGCTCTGACCCCATCAGCCATGATTCACTGCCTTGTCCAAGAGCCTGTTACCAGCATTGACTTGTCCTCATCATCATAAATACACGTTAGCTGAAGGCGAGAAACACACCTCAGCTACTGCGCCCCAATGCAAAAAGATAAGAGAGTAAACAATTACACTACAAAAAGGATTTCAAGCAAGTGCTATGATGCTAAATATTATATTATGCGCTTTGTATGAGATCGGGATTGGAGTGGGAATCTAAAATGGGAGATGGTCAAAGAAATTCACAACACAAATGCCATTTGGGCCGACTCTTCGCCATACCAGCAAGTATGTCCAACCAAACGTTTTCATTGTCTTTAGGACCCCAACCAGGCAGTCGGGATGCACTAACCGACGCCAGCTTCGAAGTGAGGGTTTTCATTTCTCTCGACCAAGTCACCTCTTGGCCTCCTCTTCCAACCGCACCCCGGCGCGCAAACAACACTTCGCGGGAGTCGGTGTGCTGGCATGTGCAACGATTTTTGAATTCAGCATTACTCATCCATTGCTGCAACACATATAAACAAAATTCGCTGATCACGCTTTATTTAAGGTCCGTAAGTAAGCTAGGTGTTTATGATTTAGGCTTTCTGACATCTGGCTTTTTAATCCTACACCCTTGGTACGTGACTTCCCTTTATCATGTTTAGATGCCTGACTCCCGTTTTTCACCGCTTTTGCCTACGCGACATAACTGCATTTCGGAGTGTTTTAGTTTGCTCTACCTATCAGGTACTGAAGTGCGTTTGCTGCAGTTTCCACGACCCAACATATTGCTGACAACATTTACCTTTGAAAACAGTGAAAATCCCAACACTAGCACAAAATCGATAAACGAGTACCGTATAATAAGCTTCAGTCATTAGTCGAAATAGTTTTCAGATAAAAGCGTTACCTAGATTGTAACGAGGATCTAACCATTGGTGTTGTCTATCTGGTCGGTTGTACTCTTAAATAGTTTATGCAATAGCTCAAATACATCTCATTTGCTCCATACCTTTTCTGTCTCATATGTTGGCTTCACATAGACTGCACTAAACCAGCTGTTCAACTCCGAGCACTGAAATGCGTCGCGTCACCGAGTTAATGATACTTAACTGTGGTGGGGAATGTAGGGAATTACAAAACAAAAGGATGTTGGGGAATACTGCATACTGTACGGAAACAGCAAGAAAGATCTTTCTGTGTAGCTGCATCTAAAATCCCTCAGTTACAGTAACCTATTATGTTTGCTAACATGCTCGATATTTCATGTCGGCAAAGTATTTGTCCGGGAATTTTAATTCCGACACAGATTTTGCTTCGACTACATGCGGTGGCAAGTTGTACCATATTAATACTCTCCGTCCAAAGCCGTATTGGTGGGCAACCTGCTTCAAATCCTGTACTACAAGCTTGTACAAGTTTTGTGCTGTTTGGTGTGCGCAAATGACTAAACTTGTCAATTTGGAAATCCGGCGGCTAATTACACAACATCTACTGCAGCAATACCACTGACTGCGCGACTATGTCGGATAGGGATTCCATTTACTTATGTGACCGATCCGTAGGCGTCCCCCAAAGGTGACAACACGTAGCAAAACTGGGCGCTTTATATGGGTACGACAGGGTTTTGGCGGGCATTCGAATCTCATACTCTTAACCACACAGTCGACTCAGTTTAAAGCGACGACCCAGCGCTGTTCTGAAGGAATTTTTTAACCAAATATCATATGCCAGGCTGGTGGTGTCACTAAGCGAAAACTATGCTGCGAGTCACCATCAATCCACGTTATCCGATGGTGAGAAACGCACCTCATTTACTGGGCCGCAATGCAACAGAGATAAGAGATTATGCGATACAGACTAAAAAAACAAAAAAGCAACTGCTAAAAATCACGTGATCGTTGTTGGAAGGGGATGCTAAAAAGGAGGAGAGGGACAGCGTGACTCGCCATACAAATGCCCTTGAGGTGGACTCTTCGCAGTGCCAGCTAATGTATCTAACCAAACGTGTCCATCGTCCTTCGGTCCCCAGCCCGGCAGTCGGGAAACACAAATGAACGTTAACTCTTGACCAAGTCATGGCTTGGCATCCCTTCCTATTCTTCCATCCACACCCCTGGCACGCAAACAACCCACGATGCGGGGTCGGTGTGCCTGCATGCGCAACACAGCTCAGCCATCGGAGCCTGGTGCGTGATATAACAGTGCTGAGTGGTTCACTCGCTCTTCCTACACCAAATACACGACGTTGAACACGCTCATCGCTCACGCGGGGTTCCACCAGATATGAACCAAACTGCGAAACAACCGGTGGTCGAACGGAGCTAAACCTCGTTATGTCGGGTGATCTAGTGGGCAATCGTACAGGATCCTTGAACGTGCGGATGCATTGTAAACTCAGCCCTTCAGAGCGTGAGTAGTGTCACGCCGGCGGCGGAGATTAGCACAAGCACCTCGACCTTTCGCCTTCCATTTCGTGACCTCGTCTTCCTTTCTATGTGCGCCAGTTTAACTGCCCGGATACTTAAATTTCTAAACTTTTGGCTGATCACCGTCAGGGGTCAGCGCAGGTGTTGGTCTCTGTCAATTTTAGAGAGACTGCATTTTGACAGTGCATTGCATAGCCCGAAACGACTGACAGTCACATTTTATTTATCCGGTGCAACTTGGCTCCTTCGGGAGCTGTCACAGATAAGCGCAATGTCGTCGGTGTACTCCAACTCAAGAAGCCGGTTACCTGAAAGCAGCTCCACACCTAAATCGTGCCCGGGGAACGCCGTTTCCATGACTTCATCAATGGCGAAGTTTATGGGGGAAGATAACAGTGGACAACCTTGCTTCACACCACTGGCGGCGACAGATTGCCGTAAGCCTTCACCCCGCCCGAACAATGATCGTACAGCGCTGTTATGACATTTACCTATTCGCGGGTACACCTCTCCTTATTAGACGTTCCCAAAAGGCAGCTTAATCAACCGAATCAAAAGTCCTTTTGATGTCTAGGAACACGACTGCGGTAGGTCGCCAATAAACATGGCGATACCCCAACTAATAACGTAACCTAAAGATGTGGTCGATGCAGCCTCGATTTCTACGAAGCCTGGCTCGATCCTCGCGTATCTAGTCTTCATGTGTACCAATCAGTCTATGAAGCATGGCACAGGCAAGTAACTTAGGGGTTTTGGAGATCAGACTAATTCCTCTATGACTGCCGCATTCAGAACGGGAACCTCTTGAAAATTAGGACTGTAGCGGAGCGGGATGGATGAAGATCATCTGGTCCTGCGGTCTTACTCAACTTTATCAGTCCGGTCTCGTCCGACATCTGAGCCAGAGGGTGGATCCAAAGTTAGCCCAGAGAGTGGGGCGCTCATTAGCTGACGGAGAAGCTAGCATCTGACTGATTAAACTGCTTCTCAAAGTATTCAGTCAACCGCTTTAAGCGCTTTGGCAAGCTATGGATCGGATGTCCACTTTCGTCGCATATGATCCCGCTAACACCATGTTTTTCTTACTGTCCGTTTCTCGTATCAGACGGAATAACTTCCAATGGTTACCAAGGACAGCGGATGTCTCCATCTCCGTAGCACCATAAGACCACCAGGCACCACGGTTTCTCTTCAGGCTAGCACATAGTTCGCCCTGATAGCTTTGCGAGTTTAATTGTATTCCCTTCCAGCCGGAATACGTCGGCGAGCATCCATAATTTCCAGAGACTGCTTGGAGGCCCAGTGTCCAGGTTGGTAATTTGATTCACGTCTGGCGGATATGGTACCAGTAATCCTCAATTGTATTCAATAAGCGTTTACTCAGCACAGATGCCATCGTATTTTGATGGCCATTCAGAACATCAGTCTTCACCAGTCGGCTAGTATCTATGCGCTCACAGCGCCTTTGTGGACGATTACGGAACCGTACCCGCAGGTCGGCGCAAACAACTACCTGGTCAGCATCCACGCTCGTGCTCCAAATCGAACGACGGGTTTGTACGCATCCTCTCCAGCGGTAACTGATCGCGATGTGGTCGATTTGCATCCATGGTTGGTCCGAACCTGCTGAGCACCATGTCACCTTTCTGCAGATGCTGTGTCGGAAGTTTGTGCTCGCAAAAAATATACAGGCATCTTTACACAGGTATACCAACTACTCACCGTTATTATTACGGGAGCCTACACCGTGTTGGCGCCCATATGAAGCTCATCGGAGGACTGTTTCCAACTTGGACGTTGAGATCACTAACATGCACCACAGTATCAGTACTATTCCGTAACGGAGGCGCGCATACAATTTCTGATAGAATTCATCTTTCGCCGAGTCAACGCTATAGTTTTGGGCGTGTTGGCCGCAATGACGGCCAGCACCGTTTGTCTCCACGTGACCGGTGCCTTGAACGAAGCAGCCAATCTGACAGCACACATCCGGCTGTTATTGTCATCCAGTCGATCAGGGCAAATTCAACCCGGGGGTTAAGAGCAATGCCCACTGCGGCTTGACCGGCATTAGAAGCCGCGTCATCTCAGGACAAGCGCAACAAGAAAATACCGACAGTGTCGCGCGTTAGGGATCGCAGGCGAGTTTCTGCTAAGCGGCATTTATCGATTGATGCGGTCTCCAGTGTTCGGG